TCATTTTGAAGCTTGCTTTGTGAAACAGAATTCTGCGCTCTTGCTTGGAAATACAGTAATTAAGAAAACTACAGTTCCAAATTCATCATGTGTTAAGTTAAAATCTCCTTGACTCTTGCTTACCGATTGCGGCCTAAGGGATGTTCAGGAAATTACTTGGTGCAGTAGCAGGAGCTTGCAGTGATTGTCCTTTAATGTTTTTTTGGGGGTTGTGGCTCGCGAATGATTTCAACTCTTTTGTCAATCCTTGGCGTGTGTGATAGTTTTTTGTGCAGTTGGAAGAATTAAAGACCTTCAGTGTGATAAAAGTGTACAGCATTACTCAAACTTCTGTAGATGTGATCGCAGTGGCAGGGCTGCATTTTTTACTGCATTGTCTACTTCCATGGTGTTCTTGGGAAATTTCTGATAAGCTGTAATTTTAACGAGTTGATTTGCGAGGGCTTCCACCTTGAAATTTTCGCAGTCGACGAAGGTAGGAGTGAATTCGGAGAGTGATGTCGTTGTACCAACCATACAGAGGTGGCTTTCGATCCCGTGCAAGAAACTGTATAAATGTTCCCCCCGACTCATGAAAGCGAGGATTGTATGGACATGAACAAGGAGACAAGAGTAAAAAGGCCCTCTTAATTCCGGATGATTATGGAATTTTCACGATTTAAATGGGAGTTTTGCTCTCTTATTTCTTTTTCAAAGATTTTGTCTTCCTTGAGTAAACCACCTTAAAGATTTTCCGAAAAATCTTTCGACCAATAACTCGCTTGGATATCGTATAAGTTGTGGTGGCTGTTTCGAGACGAACGCAGAAGAAATGCAATCGACAACGAAAATGTAGAAGCCTTCCTCATTTTAGTCTTCATGTGAGGGATTCCAGCGTTTCATTGCATCTTCCATCGCACCAGTCTAGCAAAGAAATTTGAATGATAAGTATGTGCATAAGACACCATTACGATACTAGTCAAAGTTTTCTTATTTAAAAGTCTCTAAAGCTGTAATTGAGACAAGTTAAACTGAGAAAAATTTATTTCGTTTTGGCCTTTTTTTTTTAGGTGACGGAGGTTGGAGTGGATTTGGACACTGGTGCCATTGTGCCAAAACATGCAGCGGTTGTATTCAATCCCACAGAGGAACGTGCACAAATCCTCTCCCGACAAATGGCGGTAGGGATTGTATTGGTATGAACAAAGAGATAGGGGATTGCATTAGGGATATGAAAGATGTCTATCGAATGGGTGCTAAATATACACTCTATCGGAATCATTGTTTCCTCAAAGAATCATCACATCGTATGGGAAGCACGCTGTGAAATAAGCATCTGATGTAGTGACTACGCAGCAATAAAACAATGAAAAGACGCATTTTTTAGGTGAGGTTCTTAAATAAATTTACAGACGACTTATTTGACCATGAGAGTGAGACAAGAAGTATCCACATGACTTACAAACTTCAGTGGGGCAGCAGTTTGCCCCCTACATTAATGATACACCGTTTGACTTAAATTCTAAACGACTCAATCTTTGAGCAGATTCAAACAAGCTGATAGAAAACATCTGCCGACAACTCTTGAAAATTCAGCTCGTTCTACAAAATGACAACTTATTTGGGGAGCATTATTAAGCTAAATTTCCATTGAAGGTGGTTTAAAGTAGTTCCATTGATTGTGGTCTAAATTAGAATTATAATATCTCGGAGACATTTTCAAGAAAGAAGGTGCGCTTATGCCCTTAGCGCTTTGTCGGCGAAAATCTTATAAACTGCGATGTTATACAAAGATTTGCAGTCCTGAGAAAAGCAGTAACAACGCATTTGAAAAAATACGATATTTTTTCTAATGTGTTTCAAATCCCCAATCAGCTGAGACACGTTACTCGCCTTTCGCGCCATTCGATCATGTTGTCAGGTTGATGAATGAATGGTAAAGCCTTCACCATTCTCGATCCAAGGTCGTTTGTCGGAATCTTTTCGGATTATGGCTGCCAAAACACCGAGAAATCTGCATCGCTTTTAGGAAGTGGCAATCAAACTTTCCTAGAAGGAGAAGAAAACCAAAATACTAAAAAAAAAACCCGAAAGTTACGTATTCTGTGGCTTTATAATGGCATATCTCGAGGCTGAGAGCGAAAATCGACAACTGAAAGTTTTCCCACAGAACGATTTTGGCTATGTACCTGAAAGATTTCTTCTTTCGGAAAAGAGTAATTCAATAACTGAGCATTTCGTATATTGAAAATAAGGCCCCTTGTTTGTTTTTGTAGTGATTTAACGCATGTTTTCATCTTGAGTGCACCTACGAACTTGACGATTTTTATTCGGAGATTTTCGATCCTTTTATTTTCATTCATTAATAAAGTCGACTTTGCTTGTTCGGTAAAGGGTTATTGTGGTAAGATGATAAACAAAATAATACATGGTTGCTTGTAGATATGAAATTTCTCTTCTCGTATTCAACTCGACATCTCTCTCATTCGCTTCGCCCACTCGTGAGTTATTGAGTTAAAGACCCCAAGAGAAATTCTTTATGTACGCACGCCTATGTATATTATTCTCTATATCATAAACGAAAATTATACGGCAAGATAAGTGGCTGCATCTGTTCATGCAGATATTTTCGTCGAGATGGTAGGCCCTACATGATACTTTGACTTACATCCATGTATCCATACCGTAAAAAGTCTGCAAAATGAATGTGGAAGACCAATCCTAGAAGGATAGCAATTTTTTTACCGCAAAAAACTTTTTTAAAAAAAGTCTTAGAAATGAGGGTGCTAATTATATCAATTTAAAACGTACAATACAAGCCTTAATTGCACTTGCATGATCATATTCTATTCTATGTGCAGTGCCAGGTTAAACTTGAGCTTTTAAAAGCCAAAATTATTTTAAAAAATGTGGTCTTTTTTCATTGGTTTCCCTTTGTTCCATTTTTTTACTTTTTAGAAATTAGTTGGTAATTTATATTCTTTGTTTTTAATTGCTTTCTTGAACGTCTTTCACAAAAAATTGGGCAATTTAGTCTATAGAGTTATTTAGGTACCAACTTAAAACGATATTCAAAATCTCTTTTTATTGTTTCTCGCTAACAAGATGCTATTTCTATGGGGTTGATTAAGACCTTGGAATCTATCAAAGGTTGTGCTTGCATATGAACATCTTTCCAGAAAAGGCAGGATGCCATCAGAATTCAACATTATATGAGATTTTCTCTAGAGATTTACTGCTCTAACTTTTTGGTAAAAACGAAAATCAAAATGACGTGTTTGCTCAATACCGTATTTCGTGAACAAGTCACAAAAAGCATCCCTAGGGTTTATAGAATGTGCTCACGCACATCGGTGTTCTTTGTCGTTAATTGGGGTCATCGATTGATTATTGTTTGGTGTTCTTTGTCATTAACTATTTTAAATAGCCGTTCTTAACAGCTGAATGAATAGTTATGTTCTTTTCTTCCAGGTTTTTTCTTTTGTTTCTTCAGAGCAGCTGGTTGGTGATTGACATTCTTTGTTTTTGTTTCTTCCTAACAGTCTTTCAGAAACAATTGAGGACAATTATGTGCTACAACTCTCCGATACGGTAGTGAGAGCAATATTTAAAATCCTACCGTGGTGTCCTTTGTCATTGGTAGATAACACTTGTAAAAAAAATTGAACGCATAATTATCGGTGAAGCACTTTCTTCAAAGGTATTTTTCTTTCAATTTTAGAAATTAGTCAGTAATTGGGATTCTCTGTTGTTCTCAATATTGTATGAAATGTTCCCTAAAGATGCACGGCGTTAACTTTTTCGCGAAAACGAAAATCATAATGACCTGTTTGCTCAATACCGTATCGGAGAGTTGTAGGACATAATTGTGCTCAATTGTTTCTGAAAGACTGTTAGGAAGAAACAAAAACAAAGAATGTCAATCACCAACCAGCTGCTCTGAAGAAACAAAAGAAAGATGTTTATATGCAAGCACAACCTTTGATAAATATTCCAAGGTCTTAATCAACCCGAGAAACAATAAAAAGAGGTTTTGAATATCGTTTTAAGCAGCTACCTAAATAATTCTATAGAAAAATTTTCTAAATTGTTTACGAAAGACGTTCAAGAAAGCAATTGAAAACAAAGAATATCAATTACCAATTAATTTCTAAAAAGTAAAAAAAAAATGGAACAAAGGGTATAAACTATAAGAAAGAATTTAAAAAAGGCTATTATCATCAACCAATGACAAAGTTAAGAAAACCATACTGAAGAGTAAGGTTTTGTTAACTTCCAATCATCAACTAAGTTCTAAGAAGTGAGAAAAAACCTTAAAAGAAAGGGTTTTACCTATAATTAAGCGTATATATTTTTCTTAGTGTTATTAACCAATGAAAAAAGAACACATCTTTAGACAAAAACAAAAACAAAGAATATAAATTACCAACTAATTTCTAAAAAGTAAAAAAAAAATTGGAACAAAGGGCAACCAATGAAAAAATACCACATTTTTTAAAATAATTTTGGCTTTTAAAAGCTCGAGTTTAACCTGGCACTGCACAGTAAGCATCTCGGAGTAGCAGATAAACACAACTCTGAAATTTGGTAGGTCCAAGTAACTTCCACTAAATCATTAAGGGAAAGTAATGCTGTTAGCGTTTACCGTTCTGTTGTAGATAGCTTGCAAACTTAAAAGGCTATTTCTGGGTCCTTATAGTTAATTCTGGAACTTAATGCCATTTGGGCTATTTCCGCACAAAATTCTCTGCGTCTTTGGTATGTTAAAGTAATGTTTATCGCAATACCCGGAGGGTATTTCATTCAATTTCGAGATGCTTGTGTGTGCACCGTCTGCATGATATGCAACGACAAGTTTTGTTCAAATTCAGACGAACTATGAACAGCTATTATGACCTCTGTAACAATACGTTAATACACGAATACCCTAGCTTTTTACCACTTGACTTTCAGTTTTCGCCTGGAACCGCAAGCATCCCCGGTCTGTACTTGGAAACTTTAAAGAAAGAGTTTTGATGATGATGATTTACTTAATCAGCCTACTGCTGTTAATCCAAGCTGATTTCACTCTGAGTAAGTGTACTGAAGCTGATTGGAGTGCAACTTTCAACAGACAAGGGTGGTCGGTTTGTCCAGATGATCGTGAGTTCCTTACAGGATTTTGGAGAAGCGGCAAACAATTTCGCCTTTTTCAGGCATGGGCAGACGGCCTTTGGCTTCTCGAGAACGGAAATTGCTGCCCAGCTATTGATCCACGCTATATTGGTCAGCACTCAACTTGTGTGGACGAGAGCTGGAGTGCAACATTGGATAAGTGAGTATTTAAACCTTAAATTGCGATATGAAGAGTATAAAAAAGTGCTGGGGTAAATTCGTAATATCAGGAAATTAAGCCCTAGGTTTGGTTAAATACAAAGACGCAAGTTTCAGGAAAATCAGAAATTTATCTGTCAGTGACAACTCAATCATTTCAATTGGTGTTGTAAACGTATTAGTTGAATGAGCACAACTGCACGTTTAAACTTCTTTATTAAGATTTTTATTTCCAGTGATTTTTCTTTTCTTCTTTGTTCAGATCTCATGTCTGGGCACAGTGCAGTCGCGGTTACTTCTTGGAGGGTTTCCACATCAGCGATGCTGAACATCTCAGTGATATCACAACGGGCAGGTGTTGTCGACCACAAAATCATCCCCTCACCTATGATGACTGTTACGAAGAAGATATTTCTCATTCGTTCGATCACCAAGGTTGGACGAAATGCAATAGGCTTGGCTACTATATAACCGGCATCTACAAGGGCGACTGCGACACCCTATCTTGCATTGAAAAATTAAAATGCTGCAGAATGGCAAAAGGTAGTTTGTTAAATAAGTTTTGGAGACAGTTTTTATTATACGAAATGATGTTTGCCCTACTTAATGAAAGCTAACATAGGATCGCTGAGCGATGGGAATTTGTGGAAGTCTCCTAAGTTGACGCACCGAGGCGAGGCATTTGAGGTGTAAATGACCAGAGCAGATAAATTCTTCTGAGTGGCGTTGAAAAATGAAATACAGTATCTGAACCTCTGAGAAGCCATTATAATCCATCACCCTGTGAATCCCAACGAAGGAACTAAACTGCGATATAACTTGGGCTATATGTGACACGTATCTATCTGTTTTTAGCACATAATCAATAGGAACTTCATATGCTTAATTGCAACAGTCATGAGACTATTAAAAAACAATTTTTTTTCAGCTGTCGCTATTGTGAATGGTGGATGGACCGAGTTCGGGGCCTGGGGAGCATGTAGTGCTACTTGTGGAGGAGGAAAACAAGAACGTTCACGAACATGTACCAATCCGCCTCCGTCAGGGGATGGGGCGCAGTGCTCGGGGGTTGCGAAAGAAGTGAGGGCTTGCAACACCGACCCTTGCGAAGCAGTTTCAGGTGAGAAATAAATAAGCGTAATCAGTAGTACCTCTGCACACTCGAATGGGATTTCCAAGTTGTTCAGGCAATCGTACATCACCCTCTCCTCCCTTTCCCTTCCTGACAGATCTGCGCTGAAGTAGCACCTTGTGCGCACGCTGAAGCAGCACCTTGTGCGCACGCTCAAATAGCACATTGTATGCACGCTCAAGTAGCATCTTGTGCGAACCGTCGCACAGTCGAACACCAACCTGATTTTCTCGGCTTGATGGGTTACTACTATTTGCCATCGTGTCTCCAAAAATTGCCGTATGAATGCTATACAGTTTAGGATGAAAGTCAGGTGGGGTTTTTTGGGTTAGAGAGGCTGCAAATGAGCGAAAATAGGCTGCAATTTATTTCCGTCAAGCTTGAAAAGATCCGTGAGCAAGGCAGGCTGATATCGCTTATCGTTTTATGCGCTCACAGGTTTGTTCTCTTCGATACATTTCAGTTGATGGTGGATTCTCTAAGTGGTCTGAGTACTCCAAGTGTAGCAGGACCTGTGGTAAGGGAAAGAAAACTCGCTCCCGTGAATGCACCAACCCACCCCCGTCAGGGAATGGATTGCCTTGCAAGGGAAGATATTCGCAGACTGTAAAATGCAAAGTGCGGCCATGCAAAGGTATGAAATACAATTAACAAGGAGAGGATTTAGGTTTTAGAAATTGAATCTCTGCTGAGGCAGATCTCAATCTCAATTGGTTTGATCCTTTAAAATAACTAAATGGCCCGAAAAACAGTAGCAAGTGTCCGCACTCGTCGAACTTCTTCCTATCGAAGTTGCGATAGGTAGTTATGAGCTTGTGACCTATTTTCTCACGCGACACAGTAATTCTGTTGACTGCGCTGTCACCAACTGCGATATCATTTAATACTCCCAAGCTAGATAAATTGGTCAAGGTAAAGAGTGACGGCCGAGCGACATGAAATCACACGTAACGCTTCTGAAGCTTAATAAATATATTCCTGCTATTATTTTTTTTAACAGGAAAGGGGAAATAGTTGGATTATATGGTAAGAAAGCAGGTAAATGTCGTAAATAGTGTATCGGAAAAAAAGAAAGCGATTGTTCGTAGTGTTTTAGAGTTTTACAGTTTGTTTTGCGATGCAGTCGTTTTGAAGTGACTTCAATGCTTCGGTTGCAGCGTGCTTTCCTTTTTCACAGTCTGAAGTCTACTGGTTACGGGTCACCTAACAGAGCACTATGCTTTGCTCATTTCGATCCTCGCTGGTTTGTGTATGGACGAGTTGTACCGTTTTTGGGCTTCTGTCATGTACCTTTCTTGCTGCAGATGTCGTTGGTTATGGGCATCAGTAATAGTTTGCATTTCTATGTCACTCGAGTGGTACTTTTGGAAGTAATGTCTTGTTTTGATCGCCATCAATGAATGTTATATTACTATCAGTAGATTTTTTTCCCCCTCAAACTAAGGCGGGTGGTGTCAAGTGTTGGCGGGTGCTATGAAATCAGGAAACCTGGGTATCACCGATTCTGATTGATATCCAAGAAATTGTTCTTGAGGAAGAAATACCCTTTGCCACGTTTTCACGTTTAGATGAAGATGTGAAAGTAACGTGGTCGTCCGCTTGAAAACATCGCTTGCGCCATTTTGTTTTAAATGCTGATGACGCAGTTTTACGCTTTTGTTCATAACGACGTTTATCAGACCAGGATGTCCACTGTAACAAAGAAAGGACAAATCTGATGAAATATTTGTTGATTATTTTTCAGATCCGTGCCATAGTCAAGAAAAATTGGGGATACTATAGATGGGTATTACTGGGGGTTTAAAGGTTACACACCATCATCAGGGAATCATCGGTCCTACCTGAATCATGACATGATATGTAGAGCAAGCTGTAATAAAACTGACTTGGGGGTAATAAAGAAATAAAAATAACACATCTTGTGGTGATGGCTCTTAAACAACTTCATGGATGAAAACGTTTAGACTGAGATAAGAAAGGTGGAAAATTTGGAGCTTGCCAGTCAAGGAGACCGAGAAAGATCTTTTTTAGTATTATCACGCTCGTAGGACAACGAAAAAAAAGCAGAGTACCCACATGACTTACAAGACTACAGTTTTTTTCATCTTTCAGTTACAATTAACAAACAAATTTAAAAAACTTTTGACAGGTTTGAAAAGAAAATAGTAACGCATTTTACGTTGGCCCATTGCATCGCTATACAAATGCTTAGTTTAAATAGTAAGAAGAACGAAACACTTACCAAACCAAGGATAACTGAAGCTTAGCGCTTTGTAAGAATTGAAACAGATTTACATTCGACCCCAAAATTGGCGTCAAGAGAAGGAAAAAAACATCCTTTTTATTTAGGAAAAACTCCTAGACTCCCTTATCCCATTTTCTTGGTCTGTCATGCTTGCTTTTTTTAAGTAACTAATGATGATATTGATTAAGCTTTCTTCACCCCACCCCCAAGGCTCTAGTCTTCCACTGACCCCCCCCCCCCCTCAATGGTGGTCAGTTTTCTAAAGTCCATCCTTTTATACTCTATTAGCGACAACTGATCTCCGCTCCGTTCCCCCTGAACGAAATCGATATGGTATCGAGCAAACACATTATTTGAATTTTCGTTTTCACGACAAATTTAATGCAGTACACCTCTGAGGAACATTTCATACAATATTGAATTATGAAGCGATCCTGCCTTTTCTGGAAAGATGTTCATACGCAAGCACAACCTTTGATAAAGATTTTGAGGTCTCTATCAACCCTTGATTAATGGCATATCGTTAATAAAAAAAGAATAATAACATGATTTCGAATTTTTGAGTGGGCACCTAAAACATTTTATGGACTAAATGTGCCTTATTGTTTATGAAAGACGTTCGAGGAAGCAACCAAAAACAAAGGCTATGAAATAACAACGAATTTCTATGCAGTAAAAAAACAGTGGAGCAAAGGCAAAAAACTGTAACTATGCGTTTTAAAACGGCTATCTTAAGGTGACATCAATCAGTGACAACGAAAACCATATTGAAAACAACCAAGAATATCAATTACCATCTAATTTCGAAGAAGTGAAAGAAAACGTCTTGGAACAAAATTTGTTACCGATTGTTAAGAATTTAAAAAAAGAAGCTAATTTAAAGTACTTACCAGTGACAGAGGACACCACAATGTGATCTTGAATATTGTTTTCACCGCCCACCAAGGGAACTGTATGAAATAACTATGGTCAATTTTTTTCTAAAAGCTCCTGAAGGAAGCGACTAAAAATAAAGAATATCAATCGCCTACTAATTTCTCAGAAGTAACTTCTTCTTAAGTTTTGCTATACATTGATTTCACGCTCGGCCAGGTTCCCAATAAATACTTGAACCCATGCTCCACCGTTTAGATAGTAATCATGACCTCCCCCCAAAAGCTGTTACTTGCGTAACAAGGTATTTCTGTTTCTTTTTCTCCTGCAAAGGCTTGAAGCGAAAATGAGAGAAAAAAAGGAGAGGAAAAGCACATTTCTCCGCCTTAAACCATAACTTTTGGACTTATTTTATCATAAAGGCATCGAGCTCTCTCAGTGCCATGATTTCAAAAGCTCTCATTAATTTGTTCCCTGCAGTAATCCACAAGAAGTTAAAAGAAAAAAAAAAGCTACTCAGGTGTGGTTTAATTTAGAGCTTACTGGGGAAGAATCATCGGACTGTTCCATTCATGGCCTCTACTAACGGAACCAAAGGCTGAAATATACACAGAACAAATCGCGTCAGCTGTTTTGCCACATAAACGTAAGAATCCTTTTTTTTATTGAACGGTACTAATATTACTTACAATACTTACAGTACAACTTACAGAAACATACACTACTTACAATTCTTACTCTACATACTACAGTACTACTTATACTGCTTACGATTACATACAATACTAAAATTACTTAGAAAACCCACATAACTTACAGGACTTACTCTATTGACAATAACTTTACTTAAAATGACTTACACTGCTTAAAATTAAATATAACACTGGTATTACTCGCGTTACAGCCCTGCAGAAAGTTGATTGGTGATTGTTGCTCATTCTCTCCTTCACTGAGAAATGAGAAGCATACGATCATTACTGTTTTATTATTCACAATGAAAATTATAATATTCACATAAAAAATTTCAGCATCTTAGAAATAACGCATTTCTTTCAGCTTCTGTTCATGGTGGATGGGGTGAGTTCGGAGCCTGGGGAGAATGCAGCGCCACTCGTAGAGGTGGAATCAGGAGCGCTCATGAACCTGTACCAGTCCCCTGTAGCATAATCTTCAAAGAAGCAAAGGCTTGTGGGACTGAACCTTTCCCTGGTAGGTACCACTAAAAAAAAAAACAGATAAAACACGGTTACTGAAATGAAGTTTTATGCATTGCAGATTTTTTTCTTACTTCTTTTAAGAATTATATACTTTCCTGATTAGGTCACATCAAAAACGTCTAAAATTATCTTCTGAACTGATCAGTGGTGAAATTTTCAACATGGCTGTCTACTTCAGTAGAAACACAGAAATAAAATAATGGGGGGTTTAAGAAGCTTACTTCACGCTTTCCTTAATATTAAGGTTGTTTTTAAAACATCGTGCTAAGTTCTAGTATTATTTTTCAGTAGTTCATACCAATATTCTACTTCTATTCTTGAACTGATATTAATAATAACGCCGTGTATAATGGACTTCCATGGTGTTCTTAGGAAATTTCTAATAAGCTGTAATTTTAACGAGTTGATTTGCGAGGGCTTGCATCTTGAAATTTTCGCAGTTGACAAAGGTAGGAGTGAGTTCGGAGAGTGATGTCGTTCTTCCAGCCATGCGGAGGCGGCTTTCGACCCGCGAAAGAAACTGTATAAATATTCCCCCGGCTCATGAAAGCGAGGATTGTATGGACATGAACAAGGAGACAAGCGTATGCAGCCATGTCTAGTAGGTAAACCATTCAGGCAAGAGGTCCTGGTCCTGGATTCAGGACGATTATGGAATTTTCACAATTTAAATGAGAGTTTTGCTCTCTTATTCCTTTTTTTAACGATTTTGTTTTCCTTGAGTAAACCACCTTGAAGATTTTCCGAAAAATCTTTCGACCAATCAATCGCTTGGATATCGTCTAAGTTGTGCTGGCTGTTTCGAGACGAACGCAGAAGAAATGCAATCGACAACGAAAATGTAGAAGCCTTCCTCATTTTATTTTTAATGTAAGGGATTCCAGCGTTTCATTGCATCTTCCATCGCACCAGTCTAGCAAAGAAATTTGAATGATTAATATGTGCATAAGACACCATTACGATACTAGTCAAAGTTTTCTTATTTAAAAGTCTCTAAAGCTGTAATTGAGACAAGTTAAACTGAGAAAAATGTATTTCGTTTTGGCCTTTTTTTTTAGTTGACGGAGGTTGGAGTGGATTTGGACACTGGTGCCATTGTGCCAAAACATGCGGCGGTTGTATTCAATTCCACACAGGAACGTGCACAAAACCTCTCCCGACAAATGGCGGCAGGGATTGTATTGGTAGGAACAAGGAGATAAGGGATTGCATTTGGGATATGAAAGATGTCTGTCGAATGGGTGCTAAATATACACTCTATAGGAATAATCTTTTTGGTGGTTTAAATTAGAATTATAA